AAAAGAGGCAACAGCCTGGGTGAGCTCTGTTTCTTTTGATCAACAATTGTGGCAAAGCTTGACTTGAACCCTAGCTTAGTCACATTTCTGTGTGTGCAAAACAAATCCTCCTTCTTTGACATCAACTTCAAACAGTTGTTACAAAGGCAGAAGGAAATTGTTGGACCACCATTTCCTGGACAGGCAGATTGATTGTTAGCAAATCATCATCCAAGAATGTTTAAAGTGTAAGAGCTAAACTTTATACAAGACATTTGTGAGAGAAGCTGATGGCAGGGATTCTCTCCATAGTGTTTAGAGAGAGATCTGGAAAGTCTTGGACAGGATGGGGAAGGGGCAAAGAAGCAGAAAAACTAGCAATTTGTTGGCATTCTTGATGAGAACAGAGAAGGATGGATACTGAAAGTGTGAAACCAGTTCTTCTAGCTTCTACTGCTGCAGGAATGGTTGCTTGAGTTGACAATGCTCTGCACATATATTTGTAAATAAAATAAGTATTACCAACCTATAAGTCTATGATGCTCATACCTAAATAAATGCAATCTTGGAACTTTTTTTTTTTTCCTCTCTGCTATTTGAGAAATCCAAGTAGCAAAAAAACTTGTCTAACTGCTAGCATAATTCCAAGTGTAATTATTATTGAAAGGAAAAAAATGTAGGAGAAGCTCAAAAAGAAGTCTGTGAAAGCAAGTAAGGGGACTTTAGCTTCAGGTTCATCCTAAGGAATAGATAACAAGCTTAGCTAGAAATATTGCATAAGACTAGTTTTTATTTCAACAGGGTGTGTGTTTAAGCCTAATTTGTTGTCTCTGACGACTACTGTCTCTATACAGTCTTCGTCCTTAAGTAAATTGGCACCTCCTCATACCATCCTGTGTCAAGATTAGCAGCAAATCTATCATCTAATGAACCACTCACTTTATAGTATTTATACTGGATTTTTTTCTATTGGAGGGTTTTTTTCCCCCCCAAGATACTTTCTATTTTGAACAGCTCTGTATTTTTTTCTCCTTTATCAATGAATGTTCTGCATGAGACACAAGTTAAAAAAAGTAATTTTTACATTCCTTTTCTTTTTTCTTTAAACAAAACTGGGCTCTATCTCTTATAAGATTGGCCTATCTCCCATACAGGGAGAAAGAGAGGAAGGGCTGATTTTACGGGTCACGTAGGGCCAGCCAGTACACATGGCTCTGTACCTTACTTGTCAGTTAGGTACAGAGGCTGTGAGAGCCCCATCACATGGCAGGGTCAGCAGGGAGGATGTCTGAAAGATATTCTCCTGGAAAATAGGTGGTGGCAGCAATAACTGCCAAGCTGCACTTCAAGGCTGTGTATTGCCCTGAATTTGTGGTTTGTGCTGTCTATTAGTTGCTTCTGAGTCTTCCTGACCCAATGGACACCGTTTCTTTGGGAATGCTTGTCAGTAATTGCTTCTTTGAATTCTAGGTGCTTTGTCTTCAGTTGGCTTCTTTTTTAATTCTTTGATTTTTCCAAGCTTTGAGGTCTTCCTCAATTACTCTTCTGTACCATTATGTGCCCAAAATGTTTAAGTATCTGCTTCATTGACCATCAGCAAGATGGATGGGTGCAGTTATGGTGGTGATGAGAGCACCGTTGGAACACCTGAAAGACCAGGTTAGGGACAGATCATTATGGAAAAAAATCTATCTATGTGGTTGCTAAGAGTCGACACCAACAATATAAGTTCATAGTTTATTTTATTTATTTATTTATATTTCAAATTTAGACACCGCCCATCTCACAAGGAAGTGACTCTGGGCAGCTTACAGTAAAAACAACAAATAAATATTAGTTAAAAATAGAATAAAAATAGTATAAAAATACAATCACCTCCCTTACCAGTCACCCCTATACCTGTTTTCAAAATTCAAGTACCATTTTAACTTAATCATCCTGCTAAGCTTTAAACAATTCAGATGATACAGTGGAACCTCGGGTTACGAACGCCTCTGTTAACGAACTTTTCGGGTTACGACCAGCTCCAGATGATACAGTGGAACCTCGGGTTACGAACGCCTCTGTTAACGAACTTTTCGGGTTACGACCAGCTCCAGCTGCAAAAATTTACCTCGGTTTGCGAACTCTGCCTCAGGGTACGAGCAGGATACGCGGCCATTTTCCCTCCTGTGACACGTGGTCCGCGGCCATTTTTCTGCCCCTGACACGTGGTCCGCGGCCATTTTACGCCTTTCCACCCCTGACACGTGGTCCGCGGCCATTTTTCTGCCCCTGACACGTGGTCCGCGGCCATTTTTCTGCCCCTGACACGTGGTCCGCGGCCATTTTCCGCCCCGACACGTGGTTGTAGGGAGGGGCACTCTCCCTCCAAGCAATAGCCGCCTCCCTGTTCTCCACGCCAGAACAGATTAACGGTAATTACATTGAACCTTATGGGGAAATTTCCTTCGGGTTGCGACCAATTCGGGCTGCGACCAGAGTCATGAAACGAATTAAGTTCGTAACCCGAGGT